TGGAAAGGAAAAAAGACGTTTGGGTCTCTACAAGACACCAGACACACAGTCAAGTGTAGATTAGCAAAGAATTTAAAATCCAAACTAAGAGCTGAAGTTAGAAAATAGGCTTTTATTATGCATTACTGGGGCTTTTTATGCTTTAGTAAATGAAGCAGAACAGCCATGAAGATAAATGTAGAAAACACTTCTTCCAATTTGAGAGGCACACAACTTCTGTGTTGTTGTTAACATTGTTTAATTCAAAGCATTTTCCAAGTATTCTGTTTGACTTGAGGGTGTTGTATACACTCCACATTGGATCCCTCGAGTCAAACAGAATACTTGGAAAATGCTTTGAATTAAATATACAACAAGAAATCAGAAGAAGGCTGAGGTAGAAATAGTGGTCGTGTCCCACAGCTAAACACTGAGCTGAACTCAAGGAACCAAGTAACAGAGAGGGAGGACTGATGAGCAAAGGGGTCTAGACTGGGCTGGTTTAACCCACAGAAACAGCTGACCTGAATAAGGGTTAGCTCTTGAATCTCAGAATGATGGCTGGGAATCCAGTATGGGACTGACCAAGACCCCCTGAATGTGGGTGTTAGTGAGGAGGCCTAGGCAATCTATGGGGCCTTGTGTAGTAGATCAGTATTTATTCCAGATATACAAATGGACTTTGGGTGCCCATCCAACAATGAGAGATGCACTCTCACCCTGGACTCTTGGCAGGGAGTCTAGGCCCTGCCCTGGATGAAATGACAGACTATGGACACCCCCATGGAGGGCCTCACCCTCCCTGGAAAAATGAGGGGATATTGGATGGATTGGTGGGAGGGGGTGGGAGGAGGGGAGGGAAAGGGAGAGGGACCGGGAATTGACATGTGAAGCAACCTTGTTTCTAATTTAAGTTTAAAAATAAAAATAAAAAAGAAATAGTGGGAGTAGGTGAATAGGAAAATATCGCCTTTGCTAGATAATCATATAAGGTATGCATCCTTTCAATAACCTCGAGTATTAAACTCTGTTGTTTTCTTAATTTTGCAGAAAAAGTAACAGAGACTTATAAAAGGCCTTCATGCGCAAGCATAAAAACTAGAGTGGAGGCAATCTTGGATTGGGACTCAAATATGGAAGACCCCCTAACACCGTGGGGTTGTAATAGATGCCGTTTAGTGTTTTGGGCTTCCTCTAATACTGTATTTCTGTTACTTACACTGATTAACAAAGCCTCAAGGGAGTGAATAACTGGGACCAGAAAAAAACTCTCATAATGGACTAATGAATTAATTGCGAATTTCAAGAATACTGTTAAGGAAGGTGTTAAATACTGTGAATCAGAAATATACTAAGTAAATGGAGATAATTATTATTTTCATTTGAGCATACCTTTGCATGATGAAGGATAATAATTTCTCCACTTCAGTAATGTTGATGGTTAAAAAACTTAAAGTCAAACCTACTTTGGTACCTAGGGATAATAGATTTTTAAAAAAATAATAAAATATAATAAGATAAAACAAAAAGCTGACACATCAGAAGTGGACAAAACAAACAGAAGGAAAACAGCCCAAGAACTGGCCACACAAATCGGGAACCCACTTGTTTGAACACTCAAGAATCTCATAAAAACACCAAACTGGGAGTCATAATATATACCCAGATGAACTGTTGCAGACCCTTGCCGGTCCTCTGTATGCTGCCTCGGTCTCTCTGAGTTCATATGAGCTTTGATCATCTTTAATTCTCGTTTTCTTGGGGTCCTCTATCCCCTCTTGCTCATAATCTTTCTACCTCTTCTTCCTCAGAGTTCCCTGAGTCCCGAGGGGAGGGATTTGGTGGAGACACCCCATTTTAGGGCTGAGTGTTCCAAAGTCTCTCACCCTCTGCATAATGCCTGACTGTGGATCTCTGTACTTGTTCGCATCTGCTTCAGGAGGAAGTTTCTCTGATGATGGCTGAGCAAGGCTGAGATCTGTAAGTATAGCAGAATGTCATTAGGAGACATTTTATTGCTACTTTCTTGGTTTTGTGGGATTTTGTCTTGTTCTGTTTGTTGTTTGTTTTAGAACAGTAGCACTTGGTTTTTCCCTAGGTCTCCGAGCTATCTAGTCTCAGGTTCTTGGTCACCCAAGCGGTGCCAGGTATTCATCTCGAGGAGTGGGCCATAAGTCAAATCAGACATTGTTTCGTAACTCCCACGAGCTTTGCGCCACCATTGCCCTAGCATATCTCACAGGCAGGACAAACCGAAGGGTTTGTGGCTGGCTTAGTGTTCCCACTCCTCTTTTGGTAGTGTGCAGAGTACCTTCCTGTGTCAGAGACACTAGAACCTAGGAGTGGAGGCTCTATGGAGGCACCAGCTCAGCTCGACTTCACCATGTTCAATGAGTCATGTAGGTATTTTCTTCATCAATGGGGACTTGCCATCAGTTTGTGAAGAGCAACCTCTTTCCAGTCTTAGCAACAGCCTGGGTTGTTTGGGGAATTCCATGGGACATCCTTTGGTGAAAACCACACTTAGATGTAACCCAATCCTCATACTGGAACCTTCATTTGGTGACAAGACATGGCCAGTTGGGTCTCTGTCTCCCACATTATTTTGGAGATCTCATTTATATTGTCTTCATATATGTATATATTTTAGGAAGCTTCTACTGTATTAGGTTGCCATACTACACCTGAAAAGGCCCTTAATTTTAGTGCTCTCTCCCCATATTCCCTCCCCCATCCCCACATTTGACCCTCCAATTCCAGCCCCAGAATCCTTCCATAACCATCTATTCTATTTTCCTTTCCTAATGAGTATACCTGCCCCGCCCCACCCTCATCCTGGTCCCTTACTCTCTACCTCACCTCTGTGACTCTATGGGTTATAGCTTGGTTTTCAACAATTTAATAAATAACATTAATCCATATATAACTCAACACATACCACATTTCTGTTCCTCAGCCTCACACAGGATGATTATTTTTTTCTAGCTCTATCAATTTACCAGCGATTTTCAGGCTTTAATGTTTTAGGAGACCGAGTTACACTCCATTGTGCAAATGTACCACACTTTCTTTACCCATTATTTGGCTGAGTGACATCTAGGCTGTTTCTGATTTCTGGCTATTACGAATAGAGCAGCAACAAACGTGCTTGAGCAAGAGTCTCTGTGGTAGGATGAAACATCCTTTGGGTATATGCACAAAGTGGCATAGCTGGATCTTGAAGCACATGAATTCTCATCTTCCTGGGGAAGTGCCTCATAGATTTCCATAGTGGCTGTACAAGTTTTCACTCCCACCAGTAGTGGAGGAGTGTTCCCTTTGCTCCACATCCCCTCCAGAATGAGCTGTCTTTTGTGTTTTGGATCTTAGCCATTGTGACAGGTTTAAGATGGAACCTCAGAGTCGTTTTGATTTGCATTTCCCTGATGGCTAAGGATGTTGAGCAATTTCTTTAATGTTTCTCAGCCACCTATGATTCCTCTTCTTTAGAATTGTCTGTTTAGATCTGTGCCATTGGGTTATTTGTTTCCTTGATATCTGGTTTCTCTGAGTTCTTTATGTATTTAGAACATTGCCCCTGTATTGGATAGGCACATAGACTTCTTTAATTGAAGGTGCGTCATTCGATCCACATTGTGATTTTAATATGAAGGAAGAACAAGTGAGCAGCAACCGTCAAGGAATAAACAACTCAATATTATTAGTGGTTGGACAGTAAAAACAGTAAAGAAATACCATTCTGCATCTCTTGGAGTGGCAGCTTTAATATATCCTACTACTTGATGTATTGGTGAGTACATGTAACAAGGGGAATCCCACCTGCTGTTACAGAATAATTGAGAAATTTCTGAATATTAAAGACTATTTTGCTAGCCTAAGACCCACCAACTCTACTTGTTCATGTGCTGTAAAACGTTTGTCATGTGAACAGGGATGGAACCAGAAAATAAATGGGAAATCTGCAGACGTGAAACTGAATACTCTGGGGGAATACCAACGGTGATAATAGGTTAGCAGAGGGAGCATGTGAATACTATCAAACTGTTGAGAGTCTAGTGGGGAATGCAAGGTTGAACAGGCGGGCACAGAGTAGGTGTTACATAAAAATGCTAATTCTGGCGCTGGGAAAGTTAGGGATCAGGGGAGGAAGAGGATGCAGGATAGATGCAACCCCATACAGAGCCGCGGGCGAGTCTGTTTCCACCTTCCCACAAGTAACCAGTGACTTTCCTTTCTTTATTTTACAAAAAAAGTATTTATCTTATGCGTATGTATGTGTACCTGAGCATATGTATGTGCACCAGATGCTCATATGTGTGAAGGAGCCTTCAGGGGCCAGAAGAGGCATGAATCCCCTGGGACTGGAGTTACAGGGATTGTGAGCCCACGTGCTATATAGGAGTTGCAAGTGCTCTTAACTACTGGACTATGTCTCCGACCAAGGGAAGGAACTTTTTGAGACAGGAGGACTAAGGGGACAGCCATTCCTCTGCTGGGAAGCGTGGACTGAAGGAGGATGTAAGAGAGAAGTACTGCCCACTGGTCGGTACTACAAGCAGTTTGGGCCTTGGGCTAGTCTTGTTCTCCCTTGTCCTCCGATGATTTGCCAAGCTGAGACTCGGTGAAGACCCAATACAGAGACCCTGATGGGCAACAAGCCTTCAAGGCTACAGCAATAATTCCTATCACCTCAGCCGGGCCGGGTTTGAGCAGGCGGGGTTAAGCCAGCAGCATGAGCATGCGCAGTGCTCCAGCCAATCAGAGAGGCTCATGCACCAGGCTCAGGTGCACGCGCACTGTTCCAGCCAATCAGAGAGGCTCGTGCGCCGGGAGGCGGGGCCTAACTAAGTAGCGGGTATTTTCCTGTGAGGGGGAAAATCGGAGCTCTGAGGAGACTGTGTGAGGCTGTGTCCGCGGGTGGTGAGTCGGGAGTCCAGGAACTTGTGGGGAAGGACCGTGTGGTAACGCTCCAGCAAACGGAGGCTAAGGTTGATTCGAGGCCGTGGAGGGCGGAGGTGGGGGATTGGGTGGAGGTGGGAACAGGTGAACTCGTGAGGCAATATTCAGAAGCCTCCTTCCCTTCAACCTCGGACTGGACAAGGCCCCTGCGGGAGGTTGAGGAAGGGGGCCTGCGGACTGAAGGTCCCGGGAGGACCGGGCGGGGCAGTGTGAAGTGAGGTAGGCGGAGTGAGTACCATTCTCAACCCGTGCCTGCCACTAGTTTTCATGGACATCTGGGTGTCCTGGCGTGCTGCTGTTGGGTGAATGAGGGGGGCTCTCACCCAGACACAGAAACAGTTCGTCTCCATGCATAAGCGCTTGGTGAACTAGGCTTTCTGACCAGCACCAAGTACTTCATGAGGACAGGGAGGGGTGGACCCTGGCGCGTCTGTCCTGAGCAGTGGGGAACACACAAGACTAAATTTGGGGGTGAGGGGTGTGGTGACGCCCCGTTTTACTCTGCACATGGAAAGGATTGGGACTGAGGGGTGGGACAGGAGACAGTGCCTCTTTGTTTTTCCTGGTCCCTTCCTGCTCGGGGACAAGTGACAGGACTCCAGGCCGCAGGAAGCTGCCCCCCCTTTTTTTTTGCTGGACACAGGAAGGATGGGACTGGGAGGGGTAGGACTTCTGTTGCAAGAGACACCAGCCATCTTCTTTTTCCTGGTCCCTTCCTAGTCCTCTAGCACATGTGGAAAGGACATCAGGGCCAACTCCGTGGAAACCTGATACCTGTTCTTGCTTGTGGCGTTCATTTAACTCTTCCTTGTATCTGTAATGTGCCTTTGCACACACAATGTTCAGGATTCCTGTGTAGCACAGGGAGGCTACTGTCATGGCATCCAAGATCAAGAGCAAACCTCCTAAGCAGTCTGAGATGACTCCTGATCTACCATCTGATGATTTACAGCTGCTGAGTGAAAATAACCCACCTGAAAATAACCCAGGTGAAATGGGACTGGGAGGGCTGAGAATGTAGATCAGTTGGTTCAGTGTTTGCCTAATGTGCAAGAAGCTCCAGGTTCAGTTCCCAGAACTGCGTAAGACCAGATGTGTTGACCTATGCCTCTAATACTAGCGCCCAGGAGGTGGAATCAAGAAGACCAGAAGCTCAGGGTCATTTCCAGCTGCATAGCAAGTTCAAGGCCAGACTAGGCTACATGAGATCTTGTCCCAAAACACACACACACACACACACACACACACACACACACACACACACACACACACGTCAGGATGCCTACAAGACAGTTCCTGCCCTTCCCCCCAAAGGATAGTCTGATGCATTTAGGTGGAGCACAGGAAATTTCTTGGGAATCAAGCTACATTTCAAATATGAAAACCGTTTTCAGAGTGTGTTTGTGGGCCTTATAATTCCCATTTGGTGTTCCTGCCATATGGTGGAGCTGCGATGTTTCATAGAGCCTCTTGTCCTGGCCCGTGCAGTTGCTGTACCCAACACGTCTCACTCAAAGGACATGGTTTACAATGATTTGAACCTGGAGGCCCTTGTACATAAATGTCCCCAGGGTCTCCTCAACTGTATCTCACCTACACAGACTCTTATTTCTGTTCTAAAAACTTTTGATGCCATACATCCAGGGAAGCCCATCCTACTAATCATGTAGGATGATCAAAATTGCATACATAACTTGAAAATGACTATTTTTTTATTCAATATAGGAAACAGACCAGCCCTTGAAACCAGTGGGGAAAACAGTTCTTCCCACAAAACAGGTGGACCAAAGCCAGGTGATATGCTAAAGGAATTTTTGCTGTTGATAATGTACTTCAGAAAAGTCAACTCCTGCTCTTGCAACACATATTCTATGTAAACCTTGTGGCCCAGGACAGTCCTACCCACAAGAAACATAGTGTTTTACCTATATTGAATTCAAAGCCAGTGAGCTTTCCTCCAGGGTAAAATACAGAAAATGGTGTGTGTGTGTGTGTGTGTGTGTGTGTGTGTGTGTGTGTGTGTGTGTGTGTGTGTGTGTGTGTGGTCGGCAGGCATCCTGGCCTATCCTTAGGAGTCCTTAGTAGCTTTAGAAAATTGTTTGAAAGTAAAGTGCTCCAATGCCAAGAAGTATTCATCAGCAGGAAATGAAAGTGTGTCTCGTGCCTTATTCTCATACACTCCACATCACAATGGTGTTTATTACTTTAGAGATTTTGATTGTGGATATTAAGTGAGGAGTATTGTGCTTACAGATGGTGGTTTTAGTTCGTTTGTTTTGTTTTTGAGACTAGGTCTCACCATGTATCCCTGGCTGGCTTGTAACTCAGTATGTAGACTAGGCTGTCCTCTGATTCACAGAGATCCACCTGCCTCTGCCCTATAAGTGCTGGCTTCAATTAAAGGCATGTATCACCATGGACAAAAATGGTATTTTTTAAAATTATATACTGCAGAATCTTAGAAAAGTGAATGAAATTATCTATGTTCCAGACTTTGTTACAGATAGTGATATATTTGTTTTTAATACTGGGTTATGTTTTTTAATTTCAGTCATTGTGACTGCTTGTCTCAAGTCTTTTTTGTGTGTGGTGGGACAGTGAGGACCAATAACACTGAAACAGCTCACTCACTACTGTTTACATTGTATACGTAGCACACACAATGGAGTTAGTCTACATTAGCATGTGAGCACTGTAGAATCAGAATGAGTCTGGTTCTGAATTGCAATGCCAGACAGTAGCCACATGATCTGTGTTAAAGATCAAACTCAGAACCACTTTAGAGTTTTTGAACTGATAGACCTCTGTTTAGAAATTGCTCAGGAATTGTGGTAGGGTTTTAGCTAAGTGAGAAAGCACTTACCTAGTATGCTCAAGGCCCTGGTTTCCATCCTCAGAACCGCAATAGAATTGTCCATAAACCACTTTATTTTGTTCCTTACACTGTTCAAAATGTCTATGTTTCTTTTATATTTGTCTAAAACCCTGGACGTCTACATTAAACACAGTATTTCTATATCACCATGCAATACTCTCTGAACCTTTGGAGACTTTGTAAGTGGAATACTCTTAAACTTTTCATGAAGCAGCCCAATGGTTCCTCTTAATGTGGGCTTGAATTGGAGGATACTTTGCATATTGATTAAATTTAGACTTTAAATGACTTCTTACAGAGAGATTAAACAATACTTCTGAAAATCTTGTAAGATTTGGTAAATCTCTTTAGGTGTGTTTTACATCTAAAGTACAAGTATCAATTTTCAAATTAAGGTGGTAGTTGCTATAAATTTCCACTGACAGGAAGGAGTGGAGTACTCTTGATTTTTCAGAAGGATGGCTATGTGTTGGTACCCGGGATCTTTATAATAGTAGTGCAGTAGTGCTTACCTTATTAACAATAAATGTTTATAAGGATTTTCAATACAGGGCCTAGTAAGGAATCTCTTCATGGAAGGAGGAAAAAGTATATGCATTCAGTCAGTAAAACTATCTACAACATCGAGCAGAATTCACAATTCATAAATTCTCTGCTGTCCATAACTTGCTTCTGAATCTTTTATTCCTGAAAAAATATAAATCTTAGAATAATCTATAAATTTTAGGAACAAGGTAAATTGCAAATATATGACTCCTCCCTAGCACAATGAGAGGAAGACTGGGTAGGCCTCCACAGAATTCTCTGGTGGTAGTGGGTGTTCATGCCCATTGGATCTGTTCTTCAGAAAGAGGAAACTAACCAGAAGTTGTGCCTGTCAGACAGACGAGTAAATACGTGTGGAATGCTAGTAACACAGCAGTTCTTCCTGCGCTTTCTGGTACTACGGGCTGTGAAATGACTGCTCTCTCACTCAGGGAGGGACAAATACTGTTAGTGTAAGATAAAATAGTCCACAGCAGTGCCCTTTTCTCTGCCAGAATAATTTAGGTGCCATTTCCTCATCCTCCATCCGCAGTGCCAGTGAGAGCAAGACAGTCGTGCTCTGAATGTCACAGTGGTCAAAGTTATCTTTTTCAGGCAGGAGATTTATCAGGAACATTCTCATCAGTTTTTGAATTTGGTTGTGATGTGGAATATAGATGCAGACGAAGTCAAGAAACATGGAGAAAATCTCTCCGTGAGTATCAGGCTTAGCTTTGAAGGAATGCATTGTGTCAGCATCAGAAGCAGCAGGCCTTCCTACAGGAGTCTGGAGGGAAGGGACAGGACAAGAGCTTAGGGAGACAGGACGGTGGTTCACGTGGTAAGGACAGACTGGCTATCCCTCTCCACTTGCTCCTTTTCAGGCAGAGAGATGACAAGGTCAGTGATGGGTTAGGAGCCATCATGGTGTGTGTGTGGGAGGATGAGCAGTTGCTGCCTGGAGAGTGCAGGAGAAGATAGGGGCTTGTATGCTCCCAGGGAGCCCTCTGTGGTCCACAATGTACAGACACCAGGGGAAGTCCCCCAACAGAGCCTTCTGGCACAGTGATCAGAGATACAGAGTGAGAGCAGTCAGTGTGCCTGTGCCTGTGGCAGAGCAGGTGGAGATTTGACTTTCACTGCTCTGAGTTCAGACCAGCGCACTCCTAGTGGAGAAGAAGGTAAGGCTTCATGCCATGATGGACATGTGGTGACTGACTCCCCTCTAACCTGGGGATCTGAATGAGGTTTGGGGGACAGCTACTGGAGTCAGGACAGTGCCATCTGTGAGGGATCTTCCTTCCTTGTGGAGGATGGAGCTGCCCTCCTGAAGATTCTGCCTTCCAAAGGTGGGGAAGCAGAGGGTGGAACACGGAGGGAGATGGAGACGCTGTCCAGTCCAGTGGTCAGGAGCATGGCCTCTGCAATCTCACCAGTTGGAGGGCAGTCACAGTTCAGTCACTCGCTAGTCAGGCTGACTCAGGAAAAATAATTTACCTCTGTGCCTCAGATTCCTAGGAGTGCAAGGAGATATACTTAAAGTCCCTGACTCACAGAACAGATAAAAGTATTCAGGTGTGTGTGTAGGAGGAAGCCGTGTGCCGCCATTAGCCATGTGACTTACTAAAGGCACACGGCTTCCTCCTACAGGTGTGTATTCTTATATTGGTCCAGGACAGTATCTGAAGTCAAGTCTTACAGATTCCTTCCCTGTTAAGCATGAAACTGGGGGCTCTACTCTCATTGGGAAGGACAAAATGGAGTGTGTTCCTATGTAGGGCCGTGACAGATGATGACATCTCAGGCTAATTTCTGTAAAAAACATAGTTCACCAGCTGTGTAAGCCTCTAATGGGTGGCTTTTCAAGTCTTCAGGAACTAATGGGAATGTTTTGAATACTAGTAAGACACTATTCCAATTAAGTCAATAAAATGTCAAAAATACTTGTTTTAAATTATAGCATTTTAATGAAATATTGAATTATTTTTGGCAAGCACTTCATTTTTCATGAAATGTTTTTATGTCTTTTTATGTTTATAGAATATACTTGATCAGCAACAAGAGCTTTTTCATCAATTTCAAGTTATTCATAAGCAGAAAATAGAAGAATTTAAGGAGCTATGTAATCGACACTTGAAGGTCTGTTGAACATTCCTACAAAATATCCTGTCATAGGGAAAATCAAAATACGGACTTTCTTTCCATACTAGGGTTCAAAAGCTGGGGCTCATGCCTGTAAAGTTCACTCATTTTCTCACAGTGCTACTATGTCTGGTAAATCTTACCACTAAATGAGCACTTCCTTTCAGGATTCATTATTCATTCATCTCCTTCTGTTAGTATACAGGCATTTGGACTGGCCTGTCCCTGGGGTATCTGGCAGGATACGCCCTCAGCTGCAGCCACTGAGAGTACCACCTGTGCACCTTCCCTACATTCCATTTTAAAAGGGGTCCCACCCACCTCTCATCCTATTCTCTATTTCTTTCTCTCCCTCCCTCTGTTCTGCTCTGTGTATCCCTCTCCTTCTCTCTCCCCCCTGTTTCCTCTCTCCTCTCTCCTGCTGCTCTCTTCTCCAGAGACCAGTGTCCCCCTCCCCCTTTTATGATCCCTTTCCCTAATCAAAACCATCTCTGCTTGAATCCTGTCCCATGGCATCTTTCTCTCCAGTGAGCCCTGCTTTTCTTAAATTAATGACAACAACTTCAAAGCAGCGGTTGGTGCATTTGTAACTTTACCCAGAGTCATACTTATTGTTTGGGGGAAGTACTGCTTTTTATACCATGGCTTTCTCCCACAATCTGATTTTGCCTTCAGCTGTGACAAATTCAGTGTAGGAAGTCTACCCATCCTTTGTTTCTTGAGTCCCTTTGTTTTATTGCATTATTGAACTGTGTGCCTATTGCTGTATGTGGACACTTAGAATGATAAGACAAAGCCCATAAGCATGATGAAGCAAAACAGGAAGTGAAGATGAACAGTTAGTGAGTTATCTGTTGTTTTAAGTGAATCTTACCAATTCTTCTCTGAGACATTGAACTTGACCATGTACATGTATATAGTTACTCCACAATTAAATAATAAATTCTTGTGTACTCAAATTCTTTTTTCCGAGTTGATGTTAAATGCCTTGTGTTCCTATTAAATTGCCTTCATCCAGGCTAATTGATATAATCCCAAACAAGTGAGTGAAAAGAATTCTTTTCATGTTTTGTAATACTTGGCGCACACTGGGATACATGTGTTCAGAACAGCTAATTGGAAGTGCTCCTGAGTAGTGGCTGTCAGGGGGAAGCCTTTCAAAATCAGCCTGCAGGTTTGAGGTAGCTCTTACTCTCATCCTCATTCAGAGTTGCATTTCCTGAGTACCCTTCATCATCTGCATCATACATACTACATGCCGCCACCACCTCCTCCTCCTCTTCCTCTATCTCCACCTCCCCATCTTCCCCCTCCTCTTCTTCCTCTTCCATCCCTCTCCTCCTCCATCATTGTTGTCTTTGTCTTTATCATCTTTGTCTCCTCCTCCTCTGTCTTCCTAACTCCCTCCACCCCATTCTGTCTTTGAGGACAGACATTCACGATTTGTGCTATTATATCTAGATTACTTATCATAACTTTTCCCCTACAGTCATGTTGCCTCTGTCTATTATTGTTTTCCTACTGGAATATTAATCTTTCTGTTAACCTGTAGCCATTAAGCTTTATTTTCACCTGCATAGGTCAACAAGTTGCTTATCCATTCTGATGCTAAAGTGTTGTGTTATTTCCGGTTCTATATTCATTTCAGTCACTGAAATACAGAAGAGAAGAAATCATCTAATAGTTTTGTAATGTCACAACAGTGTATTTATAGATAGTATCTCTCTATGTAGCCCCAGCTGGCCTGAAACTCACTATGTAGTGGCTGTTCTTCTACTTGTAGTGATCCTCCTGCCTCTAGCTTTGGGGTGATGGAATTACAGGCATGCATCACTGGGTCTCTCTGCTTAATGCAACAGATTTGATATAGTATATCCTAATTCACTCGTTGTTGGACATTCAGTCCTGATCATAATCATCCTAATCACACAAAGTCGTGTGCCTCCACCTGTAGCAGTATTATACTCAGCTTCACATTTCCATATTCCTTTAGTGGGTATTTTGATTTTCATATAATAGACAGTATCTGTTTACTTTGGAATAATTAATGGCCATGGCTTGTATTGTAATACATACTGATTTTGAAGTGTAACTGTCCACAGTTTTGAACAGAGATAACCATCAGTGACTTCTAATTAAACATGGCTTTTGGGTTTAGAATCTACAGGCTATTAAGAGTTGTCGCCGAAAAGCTATTCTCGAGGAATCCAGAAATCAAATGGACCTCTTGGAGAGGAAACTTACTACAGAAACTGTAAGTAGAATATTTTTTTAAATGTCGGTGAGTGGGATTATGTAAGCACTAAATATTTTCTTTCCTAAAATACATGTCATATCAACAGAAACATTAATCTGATGTTTAATAACTTCATTCAGGTAAAGCTTCAGGAAGAAAAGGCTGGTGTTAGATCGTCTCTGCTATCCCTGCTATTCTCATAACACCTTGAAGAAAATAGCTCAACCTCCATAATAAGATGTCATCATCTATTATGCCGTGGAGACTGCAACTGAAGTGATTGTAACTTCCTTTTTCACATCTGTGAGGTGCCAGAAAAACTTTACTGAGAATGTTTTGCTCTTCAAAATTTCTTTGCACGTAGTATGCTAACATCAGTGATATACAAAGTCTTCTGTATGGATATGGATATGGATATGGATATAGATCTACCTGCCATGGGGAATCTTTAGCTGGAAACCTTTGATTTAATAAACATGAAATTGTTTCAGATTTGCTGGGGTGAGTCATTGAATTGCACTCTCTTTCTGACATCCCATGCCTTTTAAAGCAAGAAGGGTCCCATGCCACGTAGAGGTGTGCTACCACCTGTGTTTCTGCATGGGGCCAGTTGTAGTCCCAGGCCACTTGTCTCATTGTGTCTTGTTGTATAGAAGCATTGGAAACAGAGTGCGTTCAGCATCTCTCATCGTCCACAAGTGGAATTCGTTCCTCCCCTGTCAGTGAGGGCTTCCCCTCTGGGATCTATTTACTTCTTAAACTTTGAATTATTGGGGGGACAGGGAAACTTTCCCCTTAGTGCAAAGAATGTGTGGTTGTATGGATATTTACTACTGTTTCCAACATTGAATATCTCCTACTTGAGATATTCTGACTTGCTGAGGTGAGTCATCTCATGCATTTTTTTAAGTTTTGTAATTTTTTATTTAAATTAGAAACAAGCTTGTTTCACATGTCAATCCCAGCTCCCTTTCCCTCCCCTCTTCCCTCGACCCCACCGACCCCTCTAGCCCCCCACCCAATCCCTACACCACTCTCCAGGGAGGCTGAGGCCCTTCATGTGGGATCTCTAAAGTCTGTTATATCATCTGGGGCAGGGCCTAGGCCCTCCACCATGTGTCCAGCCTAAGAGAGCATCTCTCCATGTAGAATGGGCTCCCTAAGTCCATTTGGATGCCAGGGATAAATACTGGTCTAGTATAGGAGACCCAAAAAATCGCAGGTCCTCCTCACTGACACCCCCATTCAGGGGGTCTGGATCAGTCCCATGCTGGCCTCTCAGCCATCAGTCTGGGGTCCATGAGCTCATTCTTGTTCAGGTCAGCTGTTTCTCTGGGTTCTACCTGCCTTTTCATGACCCCTTTGCTCATCACTGTTCCCTCTCTGCAACTGGTTTCCAGGAGTTCAGTTCACTGTTTAGCTGTGAGTGTCAGCCTCTGTTTCTATCAGCCACTGGATGAAGTCTCTAGGATGGTATATAAGGTGGTCATCAATCTCATTATCAGGGAAGTTCATTTAAGGTAGCCTCTCCACTATTGCTTAGATTGCCAGTTGGTGTCATCTTGGTAGATCTCTGGAAATCTCACTAGTGCCAGATCTCCCCTCAAACCTATAATCACTCTCTCACTTATGGTATCTCTCATCCTGCTCTCCTCTATTCTTCCCCCGACCAAACTTTCCTGCTCCTCCATGTCCTCCTCTCCCCTTCTCTTCTTCCCCTCACTTTCCTCCAGCTCCCTGTCCCCTCCCCCCATGCTCCCAGTCCACTCACGAGATCCTGTCCCTTTGCTTTCCCCTGGGGTACATGTATATCTCTCTTATGGTCCTCCCTATTTCCCAGACTCTCTGGTGGTGGGATTGTATGCTGGCACTCCCCTGCTTCATTTCTAAAATACCTATATGATACATACCATGTTTGTCTTTTTATGACTGGGTTACTAGTGCCATCCATTTGCCTGCAATTTTCAAGATTACATTGGTTTTTTTTTCTGCTGAGTAGTAATCCATTGTGGAAATGTACCACATTTTCTCTGTCCACTCTTGAGTTGAGGGGCATCTAGCTTGCTTCCAGGTTCTGGCTATTACAAATAATGCTGCTATGAACATGCATCTTGCATGTTGTATGAATGTGCATCTTTTGGGTATATGCCTAAGAGTGGAATTGCTGGGTCTTGTGGTAGACTGATTCCCATTTTCCCGAGGAATCTCCATACTGATTTCCAAAGTGGCTGTATGAGTTGGCACTCCCACCAGCAGTGGAGGAGTGTTCCCCTTTCTCCACAAAACAAAACAAAAAGGTCCCGTGCCATGTAGAGGTGTGCTACCACCTGTGTTTCTGCATGGGGCCAGTTGTAGTCCCGGCCACTTGTCTCATTGTGTCTTGTGTAGAAGCATTGGAAACAGAGTGCATTCAACATCTCTCATCGTCCACAGGTGGAATTCATTCCTCCCCTGTCAGCGAGGGCTTCCCCTCTGGGAACAATTTACTTCTTAAACTTTGAATTATTGGAGGGGGACAGGGAAATTTGCCCCTCAGTGCAAAGTACGTGTGGTTGTACGGACATTTACCACTATTTCTAACATTGAATATATCCTACTTGAGATATTCTGACTATCAATACCAAATGATAAATATACTACCATAGCATTGAGTCCTGTATTATTCTAATGTATGTGTGTCTCTGTGTGTGTGGTGTGTGTATGCATTTTGGTATGTGGTACATCTGTATATGTGTTCATGTGTAGAGACACATATGTGTGAATCGTGTTTATGTGTTATTGTGTGTTTAGGTGTGTGTGTAAATCTTTTGGCATGTGGAACATGAGTATATGTGTAGGCACATCTTTGTGAATTCATGTGTGTGTTTAAATCTTACAGTATGTGGTGCATTGTAGCATGTAGTCTTCCCACCGGCCACCTGGGCCCTGCCGAGCTGTCTGAACCCCCAAATAACATACAGGACACTATATTAATTATGAAGCTATTGGCCGTTGCTATGATTTCCTATCAGCTAGCTCTGTCTTAATTGTTAACCCATAATTGCTAATCTGAATATTTCCATGTGATCTTCACTTACCGGAGAACAGGGTCCGGACCTCTTACTCCTCTGGCTTCCTACATCATGACTGACTGTGCCTCTCTTCCCAGAATCCTCCTCGACTCCTAGTCCCACCTATCTTGCTTCCCTATAGGCCAATAGTGCTTTATTCAGCAACCAATAAGATAAGCCCATACATAGGACTTCCCCCATCAGTGCATGTATAAAGTGTTCATATGTATAGCACATACACATGTGTATATATGTGTGTGTGCGTGTATGTGTGTGCACGCATGTGTGCATGGGTGTCTGCAAATCCTTTGATATGTGGTACATGTGTATATGTGTTCATATGTGCCAGCACACTTGTGTGAATGTGTGTGCGTGTGTGTGTGTATAAGTATGTGAACGCGCATATGCCACCACAGGTACTTTTGCATGTAGAAACCAGAGATGCATAAAGTATCGAAAAGTGCATTCTTTCCGCCAGCCTGGTCCCAGAGCCGAATCAGTCCCAAATGAACATGTAGGGCGCTATATTAATTATGAAGCTATTGGCCATTTGCTATGGTTTCTTAATGGCTAGCTCTGACTTAACTATTAACCCATAATTACTAATATATATTTTTATAGGGACTTATCTTTCTGAGGACTCCTGACTTGTGCCTTTTCCTCCCGGGATCATATGGCGACCCTCTACCCTTGACTACATTTCCCAGAATCCTTCTGACTCCTAGTCCCACCTATCTTGCATCTCTATTGGCCAAGAGTACTTTATTCATCAACCAGTAAGACAAACAGATTTACAGAATGACATCTTCCATCAAGGTATCTACATTATTTTGAGACAGGATATCTCTCTGAACATGGAGATCATTTTTTGGACTAAAGCATTAGGCCATTGAGTTTCAGGAATCCACCCTGTCTCTCCCTTCCAGTGCTGGTGTTAAAGACATTCACTGCTGGACTGAGATCTTTTTAAAGATTTATTTTCATTATTTTATTCATGTGTATGTGTGTATATCTCTACATATGTATGTGCAAATGTGTTTGCTCAGTTCAGGGTGTCAGACTCTGTAGATGTGGAGTTATTAGTCAGTCTTGGGCCACCCAACAGGGGCGCTGGGATTTGAACTCCTGTCTTCTGCAAGTGCAACAAGTGCTTTTAACCACCTAGCTATCTCTCCAGCAAAGTCCTACAACCGGAACCAGAGATAACCTGACAGCTCAAATGATGTCTATGCAATCTGTATGACCAAGTCCAGGCCAGATCCTTCCTTAGACCCTTAAGCTAACACAGGTAGCCTGTCTCCAGAACCCATCTTCTTGGGAGAAAATATATTTACCCTGAGTTGAGTTCCAATGTAATTAGTGGTGATTTTGTTACACCAAGAAACTTTTTCCATGATTATAGATAGTGTATTTCAATATGCTGGTAATAAACTTGCATGACATCAGACTACCCAAAGTTTCATCCAAGTTGGCAAAGACAGTCTGAACTGAGTTTGCATTCTCACCTGTTTGTGGATCATTTCACTAACTGCAGTGATACCTGCAGAGACCCTTCAGCTCTCTCCCTCCCTCTCTCTGTCTGTCCTATACAACTAAGTCACCACATATTCAGAGTTGAGTGACACCACAGACATTAGGTGACAGCATGTGAGTTGGTGCATTTTACAGCTCACAAGTGACAGAAAAACAATTGCTCAGTCTTGAAAGTGTGCTACCAGTGTTCTGGGAGTCTTTGGGCACACAGCTGAAAGTCAGCCCCGTGTTGTGATACCACATCTGTCACAGTGTACAGTAATGGACCATCATAAGAGGGGTACAGCACATGGCCTTGCATCAGATACAGACCAGAGATGTGCTCTTTGCTCATCCACAGAAGGAGATTTGCAGAGAAATAATGCAGGAGTGGAAATGCTTGGATACAGGCCAAATGTCTGGTATTAGAGGGGACCTAACATGTGCCAGTTGGGCAAGTCCATTGACAGTTCCATGGCCCTGTTAGTGCAGAAATCTAAGTGAAGCTTCCAGGAAAAAATAATGCAAATGCCTGAGTCAGCAATAAAAAAGTCAGCTTTGCCCGTTTGTGTGCAGATCATGCCCATTACCTCATTCGTGCTGCAAATGACCCGAGGTACAAAATTGAAGCAGGGAGTCAGCAATTTTTATGGTTAGATTTTTAGAACTGTCTCCATAGGTCACAGTTTTTGTTTTGTTTCTTAATTTTATTTTATTTGTTTCTATGTATTATTTGTCTGCATGTATATTTGTGTACTCTCTGCATGCCTGGTACCTGTGGGATTCACAAGAAGAGTGTTTTTTATCCCTTTCTAACGAGTTATATATGGCTGGAAGATGCCACGTAAGTATTAGAAATCTAACCTTGAATAATTTAGATTGGAACAGGAGCAAGTTGTCTTAACCACTGAGTTGGTAGAAAAATTATAA